TGAACAACAAGGACTGAAAAAGACTATCAGATCATGAGGTTAATCTGAATGAATGAGACTGCTGTGGCAAAGGACTTGGTGGAAGTGGTCCTGGAAATGAGTAATGAACTATGGATGTTGTACTGTGACAATGGCTTGATAAGTCAGTCCAAACTAAATTTTCCAGGGTCAACTTTCCAGGAGTTCTGTATTTTACTGCAGAGTGGTAGGTCATGCAGATCACCATTTGTTGTTATTTGTTTTCTAAGTTAAGTTGTAAAACTGAGCAGTTTAATTGCATGTATCAAAGTGCTGGTGTTAAGGGTTGTACCACAGACAAGGTTGATAGATTTATAATTAATGACAGTGAAGCACGCCATTAGGATCATCAGAAGTGAATTAACAGGCATTGATTTCTATTTGAAAGAGAAAATTACACTGTAATTTAGAGTCTTTCAAAATGGCACAGAAAACATAGAGGATCCTTTGGTCTTGACTGTACCGTAGCTATTTCTTTTGAGAGAAAGGAAAAAACTCTTCTACATGGCTGATGTCTATTTTCATGAGGTTTGCATCGTTTTCTTGTTCAAGCTGTTAAGATCCTCTGTATCTTTTCAGTTCAAAGACAGTTCAGTAATCAAATGCTGCAAACAGGCTTCCACAAATTAGCTTTGATAATCGGAATTTTTCATTAATCCAGAAGGTGTTCATATTGTGCTGTACTGCCATCCTGCAAGCTCTCTCTTCAAATTAATGAAATCAAGGGGCACGTCAACAACAATGTCAGGCATCTGCCAGCTGGGTTCTATGCACAGAGTAGATAGATCCCCTCCAACTGATTTCCAGATTGTGCTGCTCGTTCTGTTCCATAAAATTTCATAAAGAGGGTCAGAAAATTGAGGTAGTAAAGTAGACACTGTTTATCAGTCGGGTGAAGTTAGCAGGGAATATAAAGATATACTTAAAAGTACATGAACTCTTTATGCAAAGGATTATGTCTGCAGCTTCAAAAATGTATGTAGAATACACATAATATTTGTGGAGACACAATCTGCTGCAGATGGGGATTTCTACAGTTGAGAGAAAGTTTGAATTTTTGCTTACTTACCTACATGAATATTTTTGTAAACTGCATGTAATCCTTACATAACAAATTTTCTTAGTTATATTTAATGATGATGCTAGGATGTGTTCTGAAATGTAGAGTATAATTTTTTAATCAACTGCAGCCTGTTAGAAAAGCCCACTGCATTCTTGTGCGCAATGTCATTCTGACTTTGAAAATCACCAAATGAAACTGAATAGTTTTGCCATCTGGAAATGAGACTTCCCATCAAAATCTACTTTACATTGATTAAGGTATTCACCATTATATTTGAGCACCTGTTACAGTTCTGTCCCTGAAGGGAAAAAAAAAGCACCTCAAGAATAGCACTTTCCCAAGATATTTTAAAGGATTTATCACAGTAAATTAGATCATTAGTCTAGTCTAATCCAGTATCCTGCCCCTAGTAATGGCCAGGGCTTCAGAATATAGCTTCTGATTTGTACCTGCTCAGGCAGTGAGTGCTATTTGTCAGCTTCATGGTGATTTGTCACAGGCCTTTTAGGACAATCTTGTCCTGTTATACTCAGATGCCAAAGTTATTTTGTCTGTTCTTTCAGAAGTTAATAGTCTTCAATTATTTATTCCCTTTCCATATCAATCCAAAGGAGAAGCTGCTCATTGTTATGCAACAAATGAAACAAGAAGCAGTATCTTATTATCTGATTATATCAAATATGTGTTAATATTCAATTTGAATGATAACTCTCTGCATTAAATCCACTAAAGGCAAGGAAAATGTTTGCCACAGTGTTGATTGAAGATTACAGCAGGTAACTCATGTAAGGTTTTTTTGTGTCGGAGTCATAGAACTACCAGCCTGAAGTAGGATAGAAAGTTAGACGGACCTGAGTGACAAAAAGAAATGTGCCAAATAAGGCAATATAAGAGAGAAGCCTTCTGCAAAGGCAAGGGAGAGAATTCTGTAAATATCTCCTTTCTTCAGAATAAAATCCAATCTAGCATAATCATTCAGCTTATTAGAATAAAATATCTATCACATCTTTCATTATGGAATAATTCAATGCATTTTGCAACCATCTAAATATGATATGCAGTGCTATTGGTTAGATAAAGTTTTTGTGGTAGACTTTTTAAATGCCATGCGTTATACAGATGGTAAAAAAAGGGATATATTATACAGGTCATTCTGCTGGAAATGCTAAAAAACCCACACCAAGTCCAGTAATCCTCCAACTTTTTACTCAATATGTAATAAAAAAGCTGTATAATGAACTACTGCAGTGGTATGCTACCCTCATAAACAAAGGTGTGAACTGAGTCCTCAGCTGGTTTGAGTTTGGGCTTGAGATCTGGGGATTTTTTTCTTTTGTTAAGTAATTTTATATATAAACAGACTCATATATACATGCCATATGTAAGTAGGAGCACTTACATTCTGTTTCACAGTTAAATATAGACTCATTTGCTTTTTACCGTTCCTTCCATTATTTTCAAACCACAACCAAAAGCAAGCACACTTCATAATCCAGAACTAGGATTTCCCCGGACAGGTGGTCTTGCTTCCTATGAATAAGTTTTAAATAATTAAGCAAGACAAAATGAAAACAGCCTGGAGCAAGTTCCAGATAAGGTCCTTAGCTGCATCACAACCTAATGAGAAAAATATACTGAGAGCAGTCTTAGCCTAGAAAGAGTGGCATGAGTGTCTGACTGCCATCGAGCCTCAGGAAGGCCTGTATCAACCTGTGTAATGAATATGTATTCCTTGCTGCATTCCAATCTGTACCCTCATTGGCAAGGATTAAGGAACACTTAGATCTTGAGAGACTTTTCCTGTTACAATCTCTATAATAATCTTAATCTATGTCTTACTACATACAGATTACTACTTAGACAATCTATGTGAAACAGTTGGTTCTGAAAAAGACATTGACAGTAGCCAAAACCAGACTTGCTTCTTTGCTTTTGCCTTCAACAAGTAGTGAAGACTTGTGCTGGTTTTTGTATAAAATGATCCTGAGATTTCAGAAGGGGGAGCTGAGAAAATGTCTCTGTTTCCTAAAGAACAAAGAAGGAGATGTTTTGCTCGTTTTATATTTTCTCCCAAAGAAAACAAGAGTTCAGCCATTCATTATAGGCAATTTAGAGTATCCAAGACACCCAGTACCCTAAACAACAGTCGTGGAGGCATGCCACATTACCTGCAGCCACTGTTCCCTTTAAAAAAGTGGTACTGTGTAATTCTATCTGATGGATTACAGCCTCCTCTGTGGCACCAGCAATCTTGCCCTTCTCTCTGCTGTAGTTTGTTGACTACACCTTACAAAGCAATATGACCCTAAAGAGTGGATGTAACCCAACACAAATAGAAAATTTTTGCAGGATAACCCTACTGTGATGGAAAAGAAGATGCTGCATCAGTCACTGGACATGGTAGAGAAAGGGTCTTGAGTCTTTCTGCCTGTAAGTCTTAACCAGGGTAGAGGACACTTGAGGGCCCTCTGGTGAGGAGATGAGGAGTGTGCAGGGTTGCATGCACTTGACTACTCAGCGAGGGAGTGCAATCTTTCTTGTGTCACTTAAATTCTAGCACACACAGCACCATGTAATGCTAACTGCTGCTTGTATTTCACTAAACATGGGCAAAGACAGGATTCTCAGAGGAAAGGATTTTTCTTTGTGAGACCTTTTGAAATACAGTTTCTTTTAGTCTCTGAGAGGTCAACCAGGACTTGCTTAGTATTTCTAATTTCCCTGTTTTCAGTTTGAACCCCAAAATAACTGCAGTGATTTTATCTGGCAGTGAAATATAGTCAGAGTTCCCAAAGGACAGCCCACACGCCATTTGCAGCCTGCAAAGCCTTGATAACCCATAATGGTGTTTTGTAGTTGTAGCGTGGCATTTAGCTGCGGTGCTGCATTCCAGGTGAAGTCCTTTATACGGCCACTACTATTATTGCCCATTCGTTCAATTGCATTCTAGGAAGGAACAACCTCCCATGAAAAACTTTAAGGATCACTAAAGTAAAAACATACTGTTGAAGGAACATTACATACAGTTGTAGCAATCGGTCTGTTCCTGGTCAGTTCACAAATGTTAAATGCAAAGTATGCATTTAATATATTGGAAATTCTTTTTAATTCCTTTAGTCTTATGTGAGTTTCTCCACTGCATGCACTGTCCTAGCATCAATACTGCTGTTAGGTAGCTAATTCCTACTTCAAAGTTTCCAGTTTAGATCTTAAAAAAATAGAAAAGAGTTAAGATGCCAAAACTGAAATATATTTAGCTTTTATCCTTCACCTTTGCAGTTATACTCTTTGTATGGAGTACAAACACCACAGCTCCCTGTTTCTGGTGAAGGTAGACACTTACCAGGGTGGATATCAAGGCAAAATGGATGTACAGCTGGATTTGCTGCAGAGCCCTCTGATGGAGAAGATATACATAAGATTTACTCCCACTTTTCACTGATGGAAGTTTGTAGTGGAGCCTTATCACCATTCTTGCACACATCAGATAAGCTAGACAGGTAGTACTGCAGCCTGCTTGGTGGCCAGTAATTGTCATGTGTCAGATCCCTTTATATAGCCCTGTCAGTTCATCTAAATCATAATTTGTATTGCTACCTACTGTGCAAATTACATACTTTTAGACACTTGTATTAATGTTCTTCAGTCCCAACCTAAAATATCCCACTGCTCCTGTTGCAAAGCTTAGACAGAAAGGTGCCAAACAATGTGTTCACTTAATGACGTTGCAGTTCTTGACTTGGTCAAGAGCAGTATGGAGTCTTAAGAAGGAAAAGATCTGGTATTATCCTAGAGCTGTATCTCTTTCTTAAAATACACGGGTGTATATGCATCTGTATGTGTGCACACAGACACTGACTTACACTATAACTCGTAATAGTTCCATGCCACTAATCTGCTTGCCTGTTCTTTTTTGTAGCCCAGATGATTTACTGAATGCACTGAATGAGGGTATCAGCCGTGCTGATGTGATCATTACATCAGGAGGTGTATCTATGGGGGAAAAGGTATGTTAAATTTAGGTATGACTTCCTACAATGTATGTAAGAATTTCAAGCCAGAATCTGTCATCAGAGCTTATACTTTTATATCAATGTTTACTAAAAAGGGATCTTATTTTTTTTTGGAACACTTAAATGTGAATTCATTAAGAAAATAGTCTTCAGTGCTATCCTCATTCCCTTTGTTCTTATTACTGTACTATGGCAGACACAGTACAACAGGGAAGATTTTAATTCTTGATGTGAGTGATTTGCAAATCTGTTTTTATTTAAGGAATGATTTATGCACTTATGATGAGAAAGGTGCTTGATTAATAGCACATGAAGGTAACAGACCTTTTATTCTTAGAGCAGGTAAAATGTAGGTAGAATAAAGCTACTTTGAAAGTACTTCAAAAAGCAACCGAATATATAAATAGCTCTTTCTTACTCAGCAGATCTGTTACCTGAATATGCCAAAGCTGTATCTGTTACAAAAATAGTTTTATCACATTTTGCGCCTGATAGTCCTACAGAGGCAATATATACAAGACACAGTGAGCTGATATATTTGCCTTTTGAATCATTAACAGAATTGTTGATTGAGTTCCTGTTGGTAACCCCTGTGCCAAAACCATCAAAGAAAATAGGGATACACAGATGCTGGTGGGGCGTAGATGAACCTGCAGGACATTTATTAATCATGACTTATGCGAAGGAAAACTCAGATTACTTTTTGATCCCAGGCTGAATCTGTGAGTTTGGCAGGTAAAAGAAACATCTCTCCTTTTATAACTAACAGATACTAAAGACAGTCATTAGGAGATGGCAAACATGAGTGCTGTTTTTGTCACTTTTCTGAGTAGAAATCATATTGTTGGATACATCATGAAAATGGATAACTAGTCACACCAGTGCCAATTACTTTCAATCCCATTATTGTCCTCAGTATTCCTAGAAAAATAATCAAGGACAAGTGCTGGTCTGTAAAATGGGAACGTGGCAACATAGTGCAGACACAGGAACACTAGGACGTGACCGAACTGCTGAAGGGTCTTACAGGCATTTATGCCTTCTGGCTAATTTCTCTCCAGTCTGAATTTGAGGCAACAAAGTCAACAGGCTCTATATTCCACTGGTGGTTAGCCCTCTGGTACTAGCTTTCAACTGTTTTAATGAAATAACTGTGAACATCAAAAAAGTAAATAGAAAGTAAGAATGGGGTTAATGCAACCAATAATTTAGAATTCATGCCTGGCTGAAAGAAGTTGATGCTTTCCAAGTATTTGAACACACACACAAAAAAAAAAAAAAAGAGAGAGAGAAGATGGGAAAACTGCAAGAGAGCTTCAGATTTACTGCTTCCATAGTCTCATTTCACAGGTGACTGTTATATACTGTGTCTTCAGTCTCACTAAACACAACAGACAGGACACTACATCTTTGAGCACAGCAATTTTCAATAAAGACTAAACAAGTAACTAAATTTGTTTCAATAACTGGATTGATTTGTTTATGCAAAATCATTGAATTTCAACTAACGCAGAAGCCACCCACAGTTTTTCCTCACTAAGGACTGTTAAACCCAACCACTGTGAATTAGACCATGTCCCCAAGAATTACAGTAATTACAGTATCCTGGAAAACTATGATTTCTACAATATTGATTTTAAAAGTACTAGGAGATCTCTAAATCTACTGTTAGATAACTTCCATGGCAGAAGTTAAATAACTTGATGATTTTAAGTCTTAATTTTGAACCATAAAAACTTTTTTTTCCATCTTTGACATTGAGAATGTTTCAGTAGTAGGTATTTGTGGGGTCCTCCAAGATTCTGATGCTGCAGCTGACTTTTAAGTAAATATGTTACTATGTCCTCATGGAGTCAGGTTTGGCACCTAAAGTGAGTCTGTTCTTCACCTATTCTTTTTGAAAATACTTTCTTTCAAATACTGGAAATTCCCCACTGGACTGTAGCACTTTTGGGACATGAAAAGTCTTTCATCTTCACTTAATATTAATTGCTTTGAATGCTTAGATGATGTAAGCCACTTTGATGTTACTTAATCAATTTTCTTTTTTGAATTTAAACAGGACTATCTTAAACAGGTGCTGGATATCGATCTTCACGCACAGATTCACTTTGGCAGAGTTTTTATGAAACCAGGGTAAGAAATCTTTCTACTTAGCATAGATGGAAGCTATATTGGGCCAAATACCCAAGATAAGTGTTTCAGTTTTCCAAATATTCTGTAAACCACATGGTAGATATATATGAGAAAAGACGCAAAATCAGTCCTGTTCAGATTAGTCATCATCTTTATGGGTGACATTAGGTGGAACAGAGATTACTGTTTATCAGGAAGAGGTCTTTCTCCAGTAACTGTTGCAAATCAGGTTTGCGGACTCAGGGGAGACCAGCATGGTATAAATATGGCCACAGTCTTCACTGTGACCACAGAGCTCAGATATTGACATCGTTATCAAATAACCAGGAAATATAATGTAATTTAAGTGCTGGTTTGCTTAATAAACATCTCATTTCACTTCAAAATTTGCATAAGTCATATTCCTACAAACATGCAGTTTCTTGAGAGAGGTGGAATGACAGCTAATTTACAAAGTTTTATCTGATCAGCATATTGAGCATAGTAATTTCAAAGTAAACACAATCCTTTATGTGTTTAGTTTGCCTCAGAAAACTGTTTCAGCATTGCTTTCCTTTGCTGTAGCTCTGCTAATTAATGAGTCAGGAAGTGTGCTTTGTAAAGAAAATGAAAACTACATGTACTGAAAATACTGAAATACACTTTCACAGTACAGTAGCGGAAAGATGCCTACAGCTCTGCCTCGCTAGCCATGGAGGGCAGTTTGTTTGCAGGCCAGTTTGGCACAGTCCAGTAACACAAGGCCACGTGCAACTTTGAGGAATGGTTCCCTCTAGCCCATAACTATTGCCAGGGAGCAGAACAGAAAGTGGGTGTTTGCTGTGAAAACAAATACTTTTACTGTCTCTGCATACAATCCAGTAAAGAACTACACGTGGGTTTGGTGCTTGTGCTGCTACTACCACCATCTCCCTTCCATAAAAGGAACAAGTCAGCTGAAAGCATGTTTCTTCCTATGCTGGATGTAGCCCAGGCATGGAAATTGCTCACTGCTTCTGTCATACTGCTGCAACCCACGTGGGGAAGTCCCAGAAGTAGGGTCTGCACTCCAGCCTCTGCTGCTGACAAGAATGGATACCCTGATTTAGAGAATTCAAGAATATTAGATTCTGGTTCCGGCTTATCTGAAAGCGAATGTAATTCTTTCTTTCGGTGATGCCTCTGTAGACTTGTAGCAATAACCTTTTAGTAACTAGCCAGAAAAGGTTTAAGAATTCTTATTTTCCCCAAACATTCAGTTTCATTTTATGCTATAAGAAAGATATTTCTTACTGCTACCAAAGCATTTTGTAATTTAATCTTACTGAGGATGTAAGCACTCTCGTTTTTATTGGCTGTAATGCAATAGCAAATATTGTGTCTTAGTTTTTATTAATTCTATCTTAAAAAGTCTTAGATAGGAATTGTGATTACTATATTGGGAAAAATTCCCACGAGTAAGCTCCAAGAGCAAAGCCAGAATTTGCTTTGTATTCCTGTATTTTGATGTGCTGTACGACTGCAGTGATGCCCAGGATTTACCATTCCTCCACTTGATCTGAAAGTTGCTGAGGGAGTCTGAGGATGTATCTTGTCTAGCAGAGCTGCCAGAAGAAAGTACTGGAAGACTTTACCAATGATGGTGTCAAAATCTAACATAAGAACTCCAAGTTTCTAGTAAATATGAATTAGCAATTAGATTTTTTGTACCTCAGTTTGTGCACTGAGATAAGATTTGGAGGCCTGCCACATAGTTCCCACTATGTTAAGAGAAATTTTAAAAGAGAAAATTCCAACACCAACTTCCGCCGGTTAAATAGGATATTGAGTAGTCATAGCAGATACAAAACTAGGCAGTAATGATCAAAGTGTGGCGAATCTCCAAAGTTGCTGCTGGTCAGCAACTATCATCTGCTAACCAGGTGATAGTTGTTAGCTCAAGATGAAGCCAAGGAACTCAGTATAAGTATTGCTCCTATAAAGTATCATTTCTAATATTTAAAAGGATGATATTAACATAGGTATATAGAAAAGTTTTTTTAATAAATGAGTCCCTTTTCTTTGCCAGCCACATTCTTGAGCCGTCACGTTACTGTCCTATTTGTATAACTGTAATAGCCCTGATAAGAAGTCACTAAAGATCACTCAGGAGCAGCTCTGAAAGGCAGAGGGAGCTCTTTACTGATAGACCTATGTCTTACCTGACTACAGCTCTCTGCCTGTGTATCTGGATTTGTTCATCTGCAGGCTTGCCAGCACTGGCTGCTCTGCGTTGTCACTATCACTAGACAATACAGTAAGGGAAATTGGGGTCGCTATTGTTACAAAAAATTTGGAGAGCCTTATATGAAAAACAAATACAACTCTGTAATTGCATAATTTCAGTATTTCTTCTGTGTTAACTGGCTTCTAGCATGACGACAGGATTTAGATTTTTGCTTATGAGTTCACCCACTCTTAGATGTTTCTTCACAAGAAGCAAAATTGTCTCTTAAAACTTCATAGCTGAATACCAAGAGAAACTAATTGTTCTGTCATCACAAAGAGAGGATTGTACCCCCAGTATGGATTAAACAGCAGGTGCTAATGAAGTGCTGAGAGAGATCCTGTTTTGTTTCCTTTTCCAAATGTTTTAAATAATAACATAATAATGTTCAGTCAAAGTCTAGTGTGGATATTAACGAGCTTTCCTTTTCCACAGCCTGCCAACAACTTTTGCTACTCTGGATATTGATGGTGTAAGAAAAATAATATTTGCGCTCCCAGGTAAGATGTTTTGTGGATTACTTTTGTTGCTGTGCATAGATGACAGACATGAAATAGAAAAGTGGCGTTTCACAGCACCTATGTCTGGTGTTGTCATGCCTAAGGAAGGTACCTGTAAGGTTTTCCCAGAAATTTCCAGAAGAGACAGACTTATAGGGATATACTAAGGGCTTCTTTCTTGCTCTTGTCCTCAGAATTTGCCAGCATACAGGCCTTATGCTTTCTCCCATCCAACAATTTCTTTGGTTTTTTTTAAGTGGTGCTATACAGGGGTGTTTTTTTCCTGCAGCTCCCTCTGTTTTCACAGTAAACATTCTGTGCATCCACTCTGAAGTACTGAGAATGGAGACAAAAACGAGGAAGTGCTAACTAACTTGTCACAGAATATATTTTTTATCATGATTATACCGTGGAACCAAAAGAGGGCAGCATCACTCCACCTCCTGCAGCCTGTGTCACCCTGAGAAATCACAGAGTTCGGAATAAACATTTCCTTAGGGATCTGGCTACAAATCTACCCTTCTAAATCAGGAGGAATTTATTTTATTCTTATTGCTCTGGCTTTACATGGATTTCTGACTACAGAAGGAATCCTGTTCTTGATAAGCTGGTGGTTTCCAGATGTATATCTAGTACTTTTTTTCTCTCGTTTTAGTTGCTGCAGTACATTTTCTTCCAGAGGAGAGATCAATGGAGTATCTGTCTGATTGCAGTACTTATTTTAAAACTGTCCTCTAGAGAAGTCCAGATATGTAAGACAACTGGTGTTTGACAGACGTTGGTCATACACCTCTTTTGCAAGTCAACAGAAGAAGTATTTGTACTAAAGCATTTTGCCACTTTGTTAGGGAATTGAAAGTTATTTTTCCATAGGTCTTGGAACCCTTAATCATGAATCAAGAACCCTTTCAGCTAGGACCTATACCTGTGCACAATAAACTATGCCCCAGACAAATCTAGGCGTAAGACAAAAGGCAATGGAGAAACTGAGGCAAATGGTGGCGCTGAGGAACATGGGGCAGTTCTGTCCAGAGCAGGATTTCAGCACACCATCAGGCACAGACTGTAGCTTGCAACAGGTACACTTGCCACATGACACTCCAGTCTTGAATGAAATGTTTCTAGTACATAGCATAAAAAACTCTTTAGAGTCCTTTAGAGTGCAATTCCTATAAAAACATGAGATCACTTTCAGCATTTCACAGAGCAAATCAAGAGGGAATCACCACCAGCTGTTCTTTGTTCTACAGGCAACCCTGTATCAGCTGTTGTCACCTGCAATCTCTTTGTTGTTCCTGCACTGAGGAAAATGCAGGGTATCCTGGATCCTCGACCCACCATCATCAAAGCCAGGGTAAGAAGCTTGTCCTCTAATAAAAAAACTCTCTCAAGATGTTGAAGCACAGTGCTTTGGGCCTGAAAGGCTGTCTTGTTTGGGGAATCTGAGCCCTAGACTAATTCTAGCAAGTTGAAGGAAGCTCACACAAAACAGAGGTACATTCTCGATCTCTGTTAATAGTAATATTCAGACCTATAACTTCTAAGAGTTAGATAGCCAGCAGCCATCTAATGGAGCAAGATACACAGATGCAGAGGCAGCCATTTGCCAAGCAGGCAGAAAGGACCTTTCCTGTTTTAACCTGTGGTAAAAAATGCAGAGTAATCTGGGAACACCTAAAGAGTTGGATAGTTCTGTATTAGCAATAGAAAATACAAACTTGAAAGCCTTTCTGTTCTTGAGTTATTTATATAAGTAACCCACATGACCACACTAAGCAATATAAATCCCTTAAACAGTTCATTTCACTCGTATAAGAAATCATGGATGTTGTAACTGTTTAATATTGATTCAAGTCGTGTTATTTTAATGTATTACTCTTCCATTTTTGATTCAAATAGAGTACCAAGGAACACATACCCTTTATAGTTTTCCTAGTGTTCTTGGCTATGCACTTTTACTGCTCATCCTGTGTCACTCTTTCACACTTCCTCAGGCAACTAGATTTTTCTTTATCTCACAACTAAAATATTTTAAAACAGAGCAATTTTAGTGACCCTCACTTTTGCATGAATTTTCCAATGTGTTCCATTAAATTCCACTGTGAGTCATTCCCTATATGTCTTTTCATTTCAAAGATTGGCCATTTACCTTTTACCAGAGTTAGCAGGATTTTGAATGCTAATAAAATTTTTATTTTTATGCAGTGTAATCCAGAGACCAGAAATGAAAAAGCTTTTTTCCAGAGAAATACTATCTTTAAACTTCCAGTAAAAGAACAGCCTTGGAATATTCCACTTAATGCATATAGACTCCATCATACACTTTGATGTTATAATCACAGTTGTATTTCCCTTAAATACTGCAGTCTCTAGCTTCTACAGCTTTTGATCTTGCACTAGACACCATCTGACTTCAAAATGCAAGTTTTTAAAAGACTGTTTTAAGGAAAAAACAACTGCCCAGACGATTCTATTATCTTAGTGCAATCTGAATGTGTGACATCCTTTCTTTGCTTCTTCTACAGTTATCATGTGATGTAAAATTGGACCCCCGTCCAGAATATCATCGGTGCATACTGACTTGGCATCACCAAGAACCACTACCTTGGGCACAGAGTACAGGTTAGTGCCCCATCACACAGACTGGCAGACACACTCACACACATCCTTGCCTTCCTACATAGATGTCAAGCGTGTGCACATTTTTTATATAACCTTCCTTATGCAGATTGATTTGCTGACATACCTGTGGACATGCATACATGTACGTTAGTATAAAATTCAGTCATGATATGACTCAGTAACGTAACCATTAAAACTTCCTTTATCTGAATAATCTGCCTTTATACACACACAAAATATACTTGTATGGTTGCATACGTGCACACATTCTTTTTTAGAAACATCCACCCATGCTTACTTGCACTCACAGGCACATTTGCTTGCTTTTGCTCTTGTGCATTTACTAAACAAATAGGTAATAGGTAGGAACAATACAAATAAAAGAAGTGTGATTCTAGCTGAACTGGAAAAGTAGAAGAGATAGCAAAGCCTCCATATGTTCTCTTAAAGCAGACTAATTAGTCATGTTTGCCACCTAGGGATACTTCTGGATTCTTAGCTGCAGTTGAGGTAAATACTGTATTTGAATCCTTTTTTAGCTGTAGACTGCCAGCTGGCCAATTTGCCAGTTTCTCAAGAGATTCATGCCCTGAAATATCTAATTGTCTTTTTGCTACATCTAAATTGTTCGCTACAAAGCACTACATACAAGTCTCCACAGGGAAAACATTTGCTCAAATGCATTTTTACTGTTTACTCAAAGTGCTTACCATTGACTCCCAAGATCACGCAGCCTCTGACGTATTTCCAGGTGTAAGTCAAGGTATTACTTACATCTATAATGCTGTATTTGGTTTAATTCTGTTTTGTTGTGCACCACTTCTTTCCTTATACAAGCAGACTGCCTGGAATGATTTCTCTGTCAATCTGGAAATTTGAAAAGAAAGAAGCTAAAGGCTGTGACTTTTCATCGCATTTTCATTTTTTTGTCAGTACTAGTAATAGGATACTCTTTATGTTCAGGATGTGTTGTGAAGCTCAGTATCCCCAAAAAACCCATTCTTTTGAGGTGGTATACGTTATAGATTTACTTAGCCAGCCGCCACAACAGGGTCCGACCCTAGGTTCCTGCTGAAAAATGTAAAGTCTGAGTGAAGGCTTCTAGTTCCTCTTTTATTAGTTCTCAGGTTGCAGCTTAAGGTGGGTGCCTCTGGAGAGGAACTCTTTCCCGAGACCTCACCATCCAATTATAACTGTAGCACCCAGCACCCAATCCCCAAATCCAATCACATAATTCTGGTTTGTGGTCTCTTGATTTCTTAGTCTGGCCTTATTCTGAAGTTACTTCATGCTCTTGGAATTGTTCCCTTGGTCTTTCATTTTGCTAACGTCTGCCAGATTCAACTAGTTCTACGTTAGCAGCATTAATTTTATCAAAAAGTTTGGCCTCCATCAGCTTTTGTGGCCTGAGACTTTGCTTCAGCTACTAATGCTAAGTTACTAATGCTAAACAAGACTATTTTGAGAGAAGAATACTGTTAATCAAACTTACTCTATAACAGTATATTAAAAACATTCTAGACTGTGCTGGTTTTAGTCTTTGTACAATCAGAATTAGGTATACAAATTGAAAAATAAAGTAATTTTGATAGGATTAGAAGTTCCAACAGAAAAGCAACTTACCATGACAAGATACGAGGTGCAGATAACATGGAAGGCCGAATAGGAAGGCAAGCAGTGAAGGGAATGAGAGTTTTGAGAGCCAGAGCAAAGAGAGGCTGACTGATTCTCCACAGAGTTCTCTGTTTCCATCCACCTTGGAACAGTGAGATCCCAGCTCTGTGAATAAGTTAACAACATGAACATCTTCGTGAGAACAGCTCGTGTTTCCCGTGTAGTGTGTTGCAGCATTTGAAACTAACTGAAAACTTACTGAAATTTTTCTCTCGCTCTCCTGTAGGGAATCAGATGAGCAGTCGTCTGATGAGTATGCGCAGTGCCAATGGACTGTTGATGCTACCTCCAAAGACAGAGCAGTATGTGGAGCTTCACAAGGGGGAGGTGGTGGATGTCATGGTCATTGGAAGGCTATGATGTCACCAGCAAGAACGAAGCTTTGATGCATGTCCACATATCATTGACTGTATCCTGTAATATGCAACGGCACAGCTAGTTTTTCTGATTTGGATAAAAGTTGATCAGTATAGTCAACATCTTGAATTATATTTCAAATGGAATTTAAATAAATACCTTTTAAAAAAAAAACTTTAAAACAAATCTTAACAAAGAAATTTATTCTGATTATATCAAAGCAACTTTTTCCTTTCCTTGCAATTGCTTTGTGTGTTCAATGCTAGTTCTAATAGCGGTAGCTTTTAGTAGACAGCAGTAGGTGCCTGCAGAACTTGTGTTTTTTCTCATCTTTAAGATACAACTACTTATGCTCTTAAAACAAGGCTGTCTGCTTATTTATACTAGCGTAGACAACACTTGGATTTCCCTTATTAGTATGCTTCATAACCGCTTCACAGAGAGCTTCTGCTTGTTCTTTATCTTGTATCTCGTGTTGATGTGCACAGTGCCAAAAGCAGAGTGGCTGCACTGGGAACCCAATGAAGCCCCGAGGTTTCCTCACCTCGCTGCGCATTCAGGGATCTCTCTTGTCCCGGCAGCCACCCAGCTCAGTACTCTTGGGCAGTAACTGGATACCTTTTATTTCAACAAACAAAAAAATTGCTTCCTTAAGTGCTGACAGCCTTTTTAACCAATACATTTAAAAATGTACAGAATTAAAAACTAAAAAAAATCAAAGACTGATCTTGTACAGATATTAGTGTTACCAGCATTCGTGTGGAAATTAAATGAGCAAAGAAATAAAACTAATGTTAAACAACTCTGTACCATAACATTTTCTGTAATGATATTGAAACTTAAATGAATAAAAAAAATCCTCAATCATTATTTAAAATTTCACCTGTTTAGCCTTGTTGTTTGAACCAAAAGAAATAGTGGTTTAAGAGGGTATTTGGGGTGGGGGAAGAGGACAGGAAGGGAGGGAAAATAGTATATGGAATCTAGGGCCTTCCCTTACATACAGTATCACAAGTGAACTGAAAATACAGTCACCTCTCTTTCATTTATCTCCCAAGCGACAAAATGGAAGCAGCATTTGGAAGGCATTTACAATTGGACTAGTCAAAGCTGGAGAATACTTTTTTCCCCATCTAAATTACATAGCAGTTGCAAACAGCCCTTGAGCTGCACTGTGTGGAATTTCACAGAGCATTCTTTTTTTTTATCATGAGATTCTGTTTTTGATACTGGGACTATTCAACCCTCATCAGATTATATATTTTGGTAATTTTACATTTCATCTGGGATTAAGACCATGGCAGTGCCCTAAACCACCTTGCTTCATGGAGTCATGCGTAAAAATTCTACCCCATCAACTCAATTTCATGAAGCCAGAGCATTTCTCTATAGTATTTTTTGAAGACTTAATCAGGGAGGACACAGAAAACTGGGATTAAGTCCTGACTGCCACAGTGGACCAGACGTGTAGTTCTGCAATAACCACAGAGGGCATGCCTGAGGCTGGTTTTAAGCCCAAACTCTGTTTGCTGTGCAACAGCTTGAATACTCCCCACACGAGCCATTGCCAAGGTTGAAGGCAGGTGGGCACACACCCTGTTCAAAGGCACTCCAGGAGCTGATCTTTCAGAAAAATAGTAACACAACTTGCTGATCCTACTTCTTTGTTCTGGGCTGCATGTCCACATTTTGTGATCTCTCTGTGTGATCATTTGGCAGGATGGTGCCAAAATAAATTCGTGAATACCTGTATTTACTGTACAAATATTGTAAACCACAGAAGAAGGAAGAGCAAGGAGAGTTAACTCGTCTCTGAGAAATAATGTAGAGCACTGCCTTTTATAATCCAAAGGATTATTATATAGTTAGGAGTTATTACAGGCAGCGCATGTAAGGAAAACTGGAAATTTATAAAGGACATGAGTAACAACCTCAGGGAAGATTGTTCATGCAATTGGAGATACTAGAGAAAGATAAAAGAGATGTGAGGAAACCCAGCCAGAAATATCTTGTGTCTGGTCTACATTAAAACCATTACTCAAAAGAAATGTGGCAGAGAAGAGTTGGCACAATGCTGTGTATAATGCATGGCTCTGTTTAAACCATATCTCGGCATCGTAACACTTAACTACCATTGTAACAAATGAAGCATTTAGAGGTTAATCAATATAATTTTTTTTCCAAATTACCAATAATATAAATTGCTTTAGCCACTCTACTGTCTTGTGCGCTCCTCTCTGCCCAGTGCCCAGAGTTTTATGCAAGAAAATAAGCTTTGCAGTTTCTGAGAGAGACACTCACAGCCCAGCCTCCATTAACGCTGAAAGCTGTAGCAACATATTGGAGAGGAAACTCTGGGAGCAGTATAATAAATCATTATTACAACTATGTCTCAATTATCAAGCCTAAAATCTGAAGAATTTGCCTTGGTTGTTGTAATATAAATGGATATGTGACATAAATAGATAAATTCAAATCACTTTTTTAACATTCACAACTGACGGTTCCAGAGAAGGTTGGAAGCTTCAGAAAAGAAATCGAGGACAAAAGTATCTTCAAGTATGTGGTTACTTTGGTTCGAGGACTAAGACTTAAACGTTTATTTTAAGGAGTATTTTCACTATTTTTACTTCTCTAGATAAGGTTTTAATACAATCAAAATAGTAACTTACTTAACAAAAAGAAGCAATGCCAGCAATGACTGAAGATAAAGTTGGTATTCCAGCATTTGTAGTTGTCTTCTTTTCACAGCGTTTTCTTCTGCACCTGTACATGGGAGGGATCATTCACAGTGGGCCTTCTGAGTCCCATTCGGCCACCTGGGATAATCCTACAGTGACCTGCAAATCACACAGCAACGTTTGTATCCTGGCTACCTGGTATCAAAACCTCGATTGTACACCTGGATGTGAAACATCATTCAAAATTTGGCTGTATTCAATCAGATAAATGGAAGAATAGACTGGCCTCTTCCAAATACTAATTTCAAGACTTTAATTACAGAACTTACAATGTTAATTCTATCTTGATATTAAAATATGCTAATCATGAAATGTCTTTGATCAGTAGGTAGTTATTACAGATCTGTACGACTCCAGAGATTACTAATTAACATGGAGCCCTTAGCCTTTTTGATTCTTGAGCTGAAGGGTTGTACTTAAAGCATATTACAACATGGATCCTGCTTAATGAAAATATGCAACTGGAATCACCCTGCAGATCTCTCTTTGTCCTCCCCAGTTTGCTGCCCCGCACCAAGTGCTAAAGGTTGTCTTCTTTGACACGTTTCAGTCCAGAAGACATGCTACTTGCCTTGTGCCTGGTAAAGACGGTCTTCAGGCCACAGGCAGTCTGCACATACCCTGCACTGACCACAGAAGTGCCCAGTATAGTGACTGGATCCACCTTTTCCTTCTGGGTGCCTTGGTTCCAAGTTTGTCAGTGTTGGGATGGCGTGTGCCAGCCTTGTTGCTTTCCTTTGGCTGCCTCAAGTCATGCTCAGGACAGCTCTTCAGGCTGACACCTCTGCCAGCAGGAGCTATATCTGAGAGTTGAGGCTCCAGTGGGACATCTTATTTTGGAAAGCAGATGCCAGCCTAAGATGGCCCAGCACTTCCTATGGCTCTCTATTACATTCTAATACTCAGCTTCTCAAAAATAGCACCACCACCTGAACTGTTTGTCAGGTTTTGTGTTAGATAAGAAAAATACACATTAAAACAAGAGAAACATATCACAGTTTTGTTCTCTTGCACAGTAACAGCACTGAGGTGTGTCCAGGTACATGTATTTGCAGTTGACAAAGAGAAGACAAGCAAGGTAAGGGCTAGATAGCAAAAAGCCATAAATATCAGTTAATGCTGAAGACACATCAAGTTCAATAGTTGTTTTAAAGACAGTCTCCTTCTTGGATGCGTTTATTTTGTATATTTGGATACATAGTTTTGTACTTTGAGGAACTAGGTGGGAGAGTGTAAGAGCGTCAGATGAGGAGTCAGAGCTAGGTTATTGAGTAGTAGATTGGGCCGACATGCAATGATCCTTATACTCTTCCTTTTACCTGACAAGAATAAGAAGGAAGAAGGAAGATGTTGAAATGCTCAAGCACAAAATTTACCATAAATTGTTTTTCCTAAGCCTAAAATTTGAAACTAGTTTTTAGTATAAGAGAAAAAACCATAAAGACTGTCATTAATGCTGATGCTTTCCGAATACTTTTAATAGACTTTTATCACAGATAAACTGAGGAATATATTTCCAAGCTAATATATTTTTGTGAGGTTATTTTACACATTTCCTAAAATTCCAGGTAGGAAACTCTTTGCTTAAATGTTTTGTATGTATGGTAGTCTCCTTTCTGAAGCTAAAGTCAGCTGGTGTACCCATGAAAAAGACGAATTTTAGCACAACAGGCTAGACAGGGAAGGGGATCTATGCGGTTGTCAAAGAAAGAAGAGACATTTCTAGTAAAGGCCAACAGGGCGGCCTAAGTCAAAGTACCAGTGAAAAATAAAAAAGGATCTGCAGTGGGGAGAAGAGTTGCAGGAGCTGATGATTGCTAAAGCAGCCATCTGCTGAACAGAGACAAGGTACAGTTTCCCAAAGCAGTATTCAGTTAGTACATTGCAATTAAGTGCCTTCACCTCATGATGAAGAACATGATCGCTAATAACTGTCGCTCCTGAACTGTTTAGCTGCCCCTCAGCCTTCCCACAGCCAAAACAGTCTCAAAATGTAAATGCAGCCCTTGTACCTCTTGAACACACTACCGTCAGCTACTGAACTTCCTTCTCCATTCAGAGTAAAAAAATGCACACGGGTGTTTCTGTTTTCTTCTAGGGAATTTTTCGTGGCTTATTTTCAAACTTTACTTCTGATTTCTAGTAAGTATATCCCAGACTCACCAGGAAAGGGGAGTCCCCACTGCTGGGTTTCCACTCGGCATTGAAGTGCAGGCCCTTCTGGGCTCATTCGGCCCGTGGGTGATGCCAATGTCCCGGCCTCACCCTGTGCTGCCAGTGGCAGGTTTTGGGAAAGGCCTCAGGGCCAGGTTTCTTGGGATGCGGCTCTGCAGGGCAACCCGGCAAGCGCGGGCGACAAGCCCTTTTTCCAAAAGGGCTCAGAGCCACTCGCCCCGAGCCCAACAGCTCCAGTGCCGGCACGACCGCAGCGAAGCCCAGCGACGGCGGCCAAAAACGGCGAAGAAAAGGGGGTTTTGCCCCGCTTTTCTGAGGCGGGGGAAGACGCGGGCGCGGCAGGGACCGTGAGGGAGGCGGCTGAGGGGGCGCGAGGGCGGTGGAGGGAGCGCGAGGGCGGTGGAGGGGGCGGGGCCGGGGCCGCCGGCAGCCCCACCCCTTTACCCGGCGGCCCCCGGGAGCGCGAGCGACCGGGAGGGGCGTGGCGTGGCTGTGCGCGCGGGAAGGCAGGGCGCGTGAGGGAGCCAGACTGAGTTCCCCTTTGCACCTGAGAGCGCCTGTTCTTAGAGACGTGTGTTCTGGGGGGAGACGCTCGGCTCTTTAGTAGAACAATACAACCTCTCGGGAAGGATGACGTTTGCTTCTTTTCATAATCACCAGGGGTGGGTTAGTTGAGTTTTTTAAACATATCAGCCTTTTAAACATACGCAGCCTTTAATTTGTTACTTATTAATTTATTTATTTTGTAGTTAGGCAAAATGAATCCCAAGTGTGATTGTAAGAGCATCTGTTCAAGTCAGGCACCCGTTGAGGGTGATCTGCAGAGATTTCTTCGGCCTCTGCTCAGCTCTTTGAGAGCAAGTTTGTCGAGGTAAGAAGTCATTGCAATGAAATCATTGGGCATGCTCCTGAAACAATTCCTTGCAGTTATTCCCCTTTTTATTATTTTTTTTCTCCCCCA